GCACTGTTGGGACTGCCCAAAGACTTCTAGACTGCCTTGCTGCACTCGGGTGTCTATGACGTGGCACTGGCAACGCTCGTGCCCGAGACCGACGTCGCTGTCGACGCGCTGCGCAGCCGCCTCCTTGACTTCGGTTCAGGGCCACATCTTCGCACACGTGCAGCTGCATCCAACGACAAGTGCGCCATCCGTGCTCCAAGACGCGATGCGTGGTATGATTCTGGGAGATGCACCGCCCAGCAACGAAGTGGCCCACGAGCTTGGCCCGACGCACGCGTTCATTTTTGGCCCAAGCGACATCGAGTAGAGGCCGCCGGCCTTCATGGCACGATGCTGTGCCTCGAGCGCGCGGTCATCGCCACCAACGATGACGCCAACACCAAGGTGGAGCTCTTGGGCTGCGACGATCTTCCGTCGCTCGCAACCCATGTCATGAAATTCATGCAGACGGACTTGAGTGCCAACGCTATGGACGCATGCCAGCACATTCAAGCTACCATCAACCCGGCGGCGACGTCGTACTTTGACCGGTTTGTCGCCGTGCTCACGACGCTCGGCAATATCGACTTGAATCTCGAGTTTGCCGCGACGTCTCTCGAGATGATCCACTACAGCACGACGCTGCCCGATGTCGCCAATTGGCTGTACGGTTTGTGTCAAACGCATGGCTGGGAGCGACTGTACACGTCACTTCTCCAGCTCGTCGACCGGTGGAGCAACAAGCAAGCGACGATGGCGCATGTCTTGCATCTCATCGCATCGCTCGCGGGCGTGGATGGTGCGACGCCGGTGTGCCCGGCTCTCCACCAGCCATTTACGGTTGAGCTCATCAAGGGACTCTACCGTGCCGCGCATCATGCGCTGCGTCCAAACGGCCGCCAGACACCACCCATCGTCGAGCACGACGTTCTCGGCCTTTGCCTCGTTCTCGAAGCGTACGTGGCAGAGAACAGTGTGGCATCGCACTGGCTTCACGGGCGGTTGCCGCCACTGGCGCTGGCAACGATCGACGCGAACCTTGACCCAGCCAAGTCGGTCACCGGCCTGTTGCTTCGAGCCGGTCAGAAACGCGATAACCTCCTCTTTGACACCGCCGCGCCTGCTTTGGCGTACGGTCTCCGCCTCCAACGAAGTCTCCGTGTCCCCGCGCTCACCACCGCCATGATCACCAAGCTGCTCGACCCGTCGACGACCTTTGCGAGCCTGGTCGCGACCGGGCGGCGTCGACCCAACGCCGTGGTCATCGCCAGCAGTGTCCTCACGATCTCTCTGCAGGATGGCGCATTAACATCGGCGCTTCTCGAGCGCTGTCGCACCGTCTTTGGCTCGTGCACCGTCCCCGCCATCCGCGGCGTCCTCGCGCATGACAAAACTGTGGACGATGTGACGCGCGCGCTTTTGTTTCAGAGTGTCTCCTTGCTCCCGATCACCAACAATGATCACCTCAACGACTACTACCGCGACCATCCGCATCCTCACGTCGCAACATCCCACGACCATGCGCGAGAAGTGGACGCCGGCTGGCGACTGGCGGTCGACACACTCGAGCTCATTGCCGAGATGGACGCGAGCCAGATGCTGCCGTACGTCCGATTGTGGAACGATCAAGTGCTCTCGCAAGAGCCGTGGATGTATGGTGGTTTTGTCGCCAACTGCCTTCTTCGCCACACCTTTTGGACGCACGAGGCATGGCTCTTCCTCGCCAACCTCTGCATCAAGAAGCTCACGCCAGACTTTGCCGGGCGTCGGCTCCGTGATCTGCGTCCGAAGGTTGAGGCGCGTGTGGACTGCGACTGCGAGCTCGCGACGCAGTTGAACACCTTCTTGAGCTCCAAACATGCTTTGGTCGACGTCTTGCGCGCACCAGCACCCATGTGCACCGCTGTTCAAGCCTTTTTGAAGCAGTCGGCCACGCTCAAGAGCTTGATGCATCGCGATGCCAACTCGTTGCTCGTGACGATCACCGTCAAGCGGCCGCACGTCGACTTCGCAACGGACGAGGTGCTGGCGTATACGTCCGCGTCGCAGGTCGAGCGCCTCTAAGCCATGATGCGATGAGGCACCGGCAAAGCTACGCGAGCCTATATTCTTTATAAACACACGGCAAAAGAGTCCAACATGTCGTAGACCGCATTCGTACACCGAGACCTAATCGCAGCCCGTGCAAGACAGCGATAACGTGGCGAAGGCCGCCGAAATCCAGGGTATGCATCCTTTGGTGGCATATGCCATTTTTAAATGGGCAAGCAACCTGTTTGGTATACAACTGTTTTTTATGGGACCACACAGCCATACAAAAAGCACGTATAATACGGTACGTGCTGAATGCAACAAATATGTTTAAAACACACCGTCAACTCGCGCGTGCCAATGGCCTTTCTTGTACGACCATGAGCGACAATGACTTGGACGCGTACTACAAGGACATCATGTACCTCCTCGAGTTCCCAAAGGCCGCCTCCATGACGCGCGTCTTCACAGCCAAAGACGAGGCGGCCGTCCGAGGGCTGCCGGCGTGGGATCTCTCGCGGTACCTCGGCCAAGACACGACGACCATCGTCGCTGCGTCCGACCTGGCGTTCGACACCTCGGCCTTTGATGCGTTTGTCAACGCGACGCTCGTCAAGCGTGTCAAGACGGCGTTGGCACCCGAAGGGCCGTTCCACGCGGCGCTCGCCCACGTCGCGTTCGACGCTGTCGGCGACATGAACACCTTTGAGGTCACGCACCGCCCACTTGGCACGTTTGGCACCTTGTACGTGGCGCTGCCACGTCACGCACGTGGCGGCGAGGTCGCTTTCCGACGCGGCCATGACTGGAACAAGTGGCTACAGCCTCGACGCTCAGGAGCACCTCAACACGCGTACGCAGCGTGCTACCGCCACACTCACGTCACGGCGGCTGCCATCAAAGAGGGCGACCGCGTCCTCCTCGTGTACAACCTCATTTACAACGACCCGGCGGCGCACACCCGCGACTATCCCGCGTCCATTGACGAGGCGGCAGCTCACCTTCGCAAGCTCGGCACGATGGACCACGACCGCTTGGACGTGCTGGAAGGCTGCCCTGTCCTGCAGCAGGGCACCTCGTTCGAGACGCTTTCGGGAGTGGCCAAAGACGTCTTGACTGCCTTGCTACTGTCGGGTGTCTATGACGTGGCACTGGCAACGCTCGTGCCTGACAACGACGTCGCTGTCGACGCGCTGCGCTGCAGCCTCCTTGACATGGGCAGCCTCGCCAACATTCTCTTCAAGCGCGTTGAGCTGCATCCGGCGACCGGTGCGCCATCCGTGCTCCAAGACGGCTTGCATGGTGTCGTGCTGCCGGAGTACACGTCCAGCATCAGTGACGAAGTGGCCCACGAGGTCGGCCCGACGCATGCGCTCATCTTTTGGCCCAAGCGTCATCGGCTGGAGGCCGCCGGCCTTCATGGCGCGATGCTGTGCCTCGAGCGCG